GCCCATATTGGCGCTAGCCTGTGCAAGGGTAGCCACCATCGTGCCAATAGTCTCTATAAAGACTTGTTGGTCAAAGGCCGGTGGTGGTTGGTTGTTGTTCCGCCCACCTCCTCGACAGTTTCCTCTTCCTCTATTTTTCATCTACACACATATCAAATAATAATAGAGCACTAACTTAGTATCCCAGACAGAGATGAAGTTCAAACTTTGAGATTTCTCTCCTTGTCTCATTAGAAGAGCATATGCCACCCACTAGTAGACACCTACACCTTGAACCATCTCGTTCATTCTTTTTTCGACCCCCAAGATTTTGTTCTCTAACCCTAGTGTCTCTTTTCCATATACATTCAATCATGCGTATTGTTCACATAACATATAACACATAACATGTAATGCACAATGGATACAATGGTCTAAACCCATGCCTCGTAAGCCTTAGGTAAATCATAAACCTAGACTCTGATACCAAGCTGTGACACCCCTAAAACTGGGGGTCTTTTGTCAACCCATTGACTACCCGTCAACCCGTGAATGCCACATAACCCGACATCACGCCAATAACATTTCCTTAATCGGGACCATGCCCACCCATCCGTGGTCCTTTACACATTAGTTTATCCTCATTTATATCCCATAGAACATCTGTGAGCAAGAGAAAACAATGCCCAAGAGCTTAGTAAAACCTTTCAAAAAAATTTGAAGTTTTAATAAAACCTACCGGTAGAAGGGCCCACTGGTAGAAGTTGTGTACTAGAATCCTATTTTTAGAAAATTTGAGAAAACCAACCAGTAGAAGTGTGACGTAATACCAGTAGATAATGCCTACTGGTCCACATCTACCGATAGGAGAGCTTAACCTTCTACTGGTAGGTGTGCCCAGATTTGCCTGTTTTACCTATTTTCGATTTTCAATCCACTCCAATCCATTCCATATCAACTTAACACATGTATAATGAAGTTTTTCATATAAAACATGGTCCATACAAATTCTATTACAATCATTTCCATATATTTACATGTCCAAAACCAAATTCCATAAAAGTTTTACAAAAGATGGTTTAAAAGCCACAAGTCGGCTTTTCTTCATCCTTGAGGCTCCAAATGTGAGCCGTTCACTGGTGTATAACCCACGCCTAAAATATTTTCCCATAAAGGGTGAGCCACGCTCAATAGAGTATCTCTTAAAGAGGTTACTCCCCAACCTAGATGCATATGAAATGTTCGCATGCACAATTTCACAAATAACAAACCTTCCAATCAAGGATATGCAATTTAATGATAGGAATTACCATGTCTTGCCATGAAATGAGATAAGACTCACTCATGCAACTCAACCCGAGCCTTTACCGGATCCCATAACCCATGCAATGCCATGAGTATAAAATCGGGCATTCCAAACCCTTGTCATTGATGTTACACATCCAATGACCTTTTTTAAAATAAACCATGTGTTTGTTGTTGGGTATTCAGATTTTGGAATCTCACCGCCGATTTCGTGCACCGTTACACTTTTTTGGACTTGCATCGACGGAAGTGTATAAACTAGTAACCGGGTTTTGCTCCCGAGGGAGTATCTAGCCCTTCTTGCTATACTCAACACAAGTTTTTCTTGCAACTGTGTGACTCTGTTGGACCTTGATCCGACTGTACCGAGCCCACTTATCAACCACCAAGAGTGATGTTTGATTCAAAAAATTGCACACACACCACACTCATGTCTAATGCCTAGGAATGTGATGCCTCCGTAAATATGCAATGTAATGAACAATTGCAATATCAATATTATATCCATATGTAATGAATGTCATATGAACTATTTCAACAAATTCCATGGCTAATTATATCCAAGGCATATAATTTCCCATAAATCATCACAATGCTAATATATCATAAGCAAATATCAACATTTACATTCAACAACAATTTTTTCCAAGCATGTTATACATAATCTATGCAATAACTCATTCAATTTGATATAGCCATTTAATCAAACACCTTTGAGATATAATATAAACACATAGCATGCCCATATATCAAAACTTCCAAGAAATCACGAGCTAGAAATTTCTAATTATCAATTCATACTAGAATTGAATTTATCCTTTTCCAATACTCATTTCATTAATTTTACAATTATAGGCAAGTGTTAAAATATCTAACAACCTACCCATTCCATATCACGAACCTAGGTTGGAAATAAACCTAGTTAGGATGGAAACCCTATTTCTTGAAGGGTAAAACAACAGTAAAAACTCTAAGAGCTCGATTCAAGCTCAAATCTTAAATTTTTCCAAAATTCCATTTTTGGAATCTTGGGTGAAATACATCCTTTTTGGTATGATTACGTAGCCCTCGTCTAGGAGAATGACTTTTGTTCTTGGCTCGTGTTGATTTGAGCGACGTGGAGGCGTAGATCATAGAGAGAAGTTAGAAGTTCTCTCTTTTTCCCTCTCTTCCTCTCCCCAACGTGAAGACCAACTTAAAATGGGGAGAAAATCAAATTTTCTCCCCTATTTATACACTTTAATTGCTTGGTCCACGTCACGCCACACGTCCTCCATTCTCGAGTCTGTTTTTTGATCCGAAACGATTAAATTTCATCCCAGTTCAAGTTTAAAATATTTTTATTTTAAATTGATTTAAATTATTGTCTAATTTTTAAAATTTTATTTCCGAGTTCGTTTATGAGGTTAACTGAAACTCGATCGCCTCGTAAAACGCAAAAAAATTAACTGTCACAAAATTTAATGAAAATTGACAGGGTAACTAAATTTTGTGAGACGAATTCAATCATGAGGTCCGTTTCATCATCTGAGTTCTTGAAAAATTTAGATTTTCAACCTGCACCGTAGTGGCAAATTACCGTTTTGCCATTTTCATAAAAAGTTCAAATTTACCTGGGTTTTACATATATATATGTGTGTGTGTGTGTGAGAGAGAGAGAGAGAGAGTCCTAACATATATATATAGATATAGTTAGATATGAGAATTTTTTTAATGTTAGTCAAATTCCTAAAGTTTAGGAGTTTTTAATTTTTAGTTTTACTTCAATTCTAAAGGGAAAGGATAGTTTGGTAAAAGTAACAAAAAATGCACTTCATAACAAATAAGTTTCCTTGGCGGACTTAAGTCCAAACAAGTCCGTATAGGGGGACCGGCGTCCAAATTTTCCTAGTAACTAAGCATGTTTTTACTTTTATTTGACAAAAGAACTCACACAAAAGAAATTAAGAAGAGTTTTTTCTTTTCATTTTCCCAAGATACCTCATTCACATAATAAAGGTAAATAGTAATTTTCCTCGGATAGGTGTGGAGGTACATTAACCATCAAAAGTTTTATTCTATTATATTCAATGATAGGTTAATTACATAATAATTAAGCTTATGATGTGTTATATTCCTAGATTTTATCGCTTGACTTTTGATTTAGTTGTTTGTAGGTAAATGGGCAAATTTAAAAGTAGTATTAAACGAGTGAAGTGAGACAGACACTTGAGGAAATCAGAGTGGACTCAGGAGTATTAGATCAATAATTGGATATTTAGACAGTGATTTGGATCCGTGGTGAATGTCCAGATCCACTCCAATTTAGAAAAAAACAAAAAGGGAGGACTAGCTAGAGAAGTGCCAAATAAATAGCACTGTCCGGACGCAAGTTTGGCATTCTGTCGCAATGATAAGGAGCATTTAGATGTCTGATGATGCGACCCCAATTCCTGAGGCATGAAGATTGCCCAAATGTAACTCTCCTATCCAGATACATGTTTAAGATGGAATTCCATAGATTTTTTACTGTTTGAATGCAGCCAAACCATTTGGACGCACCTATGTAATTATTTCCAGAGAGTTTAAACTATTTAGGCCCGTGTTGACTCTTTGGACGCGCCTTCTTGATCCTGGCATATGGATTTTGATGTGATGAATCTTTTTTGGTAATGATTTCTTCTACAAACCTGACCTAGGCCTTCTAGTATATAACTATGAATTTTTTTTAATAGGTACCATCTTGTATGCCATCTTCTACTTTATTTTTTAGTGTTTTAGGGCTGATGATGTACAAAATAGTTTCGTGCAAGATCAACAGTTGAGTGTGTGATAAAGTGTAATTAATGGACAATTAATAGAGCAATTAATGTCAATAATGTAAATATCGGGTCAACACACAAATATATAGTGGTTTGGTCCGAGTGATCTACTCCACTCGGTGAAACGACGATGGTGGCCGAGGGACCTTTATTGATAAAGTAAGGTGAACGGCAGAGAGAGAAATGGTTAGCTCCAACAGAGGTACAATAGCTAGGAGAAATAAAAACTATGTGTGTGTAGAGAGGTGTAGAGATAGAGCTCAATGTGTCCTCTTATGTAGAGAGAACTTACAAATTATAGGCACAGAGCCTTGGTTAAGGTAGTGACGTGAGGGTAAATGTACTAATTCTACGGGTGGCTACAAAAGGTAAGTGCCATAAAAGGTTGTCCTGATTTTCGAGGGTGAGTATCTTGATAATTTCTCCCCATGTGCTCTAATTATTTTTGGACTCCTTGGACCTTGGGTTCGGTTAGATTCACGAACTAGACTTGACCTGCCTTTTAGTTGACTTGGGCTTACTTGATTTATTGGGCCTAGCATGGTTAGATTTGGGCTCATCATTTGATCCCCATGCCACAAGCCCCGATCGCTCGCGAGAGGGAGTTAAGGGCATGAGCGAGCCTCAAGAGGTTTCTTGTTCCCCATGATAGTCCTTCAGATTCTCATATCTGTATTCTAAAAAAACTTCTCTCTGTGCCTATTACATCAACCATGGATCTAGTATTTGGGTCTTTGATGCACTGGACCCCCTCTTTACTTAGGGATTCAACCCTTGAGATATCTTATTCTTCCCCATGACATTTCCTTAAAGTCAGAAAAATCATTTCCATTCTCACTACATAAACCATCAAGAGAAAGAGAGAGACGCTTGGGAAGATGACAGAGAAGAGATCCTCAATGTCAAGGGAAAAAAATGGGAGAATCCACAATTAGTGCCATTGGGTTCTCTGCATTCAATCAGACCAGTGGGCAAGGAGGCGTTAGGGCTAGTTTTGTTGGCCCTAAAATGCTAGGCAACGTCTATGGAGGGTCCGATAGAGGTGTATAAGGCGATGTTCTGAGCAGCAGCGAGAGAGATGAGGTAGTAAAGAATGTTGAAGGCTTTATGGGCGACGCCATAGTTGGCTAAGGCAGCACCCACAGTTGGGTTGGCGACGCCTCGAGGGCTAGGAGTGTTGAGGGAGTCGCTGGTTTGGGCATAACTTTCGATGGCGTAGGCGTTGGCTCACGGGGATCTGGTAAGGCTTGCGGCAAAGCCTCAGGGAGGCGAAGGACTCCATCGGGTGAAGCCCAGGCAACGCAAGGTGAGGCCCAGGCGACGCCAGCTGGGCATTGGGCGCAGTGGGTTACGCTAGAGACGGAGGTGGTGCCGACTGGGCGTTAGGCAGTGTAGGGGTTATAGTAGTGCTGATTGGATGTTAGGCTACGTAGGAAGTAGTGGCGGTGCTGGTGAGGTGCGGGGCAAGATCGGTGATGTTCACGTTGGACCTGGTGACCTTGGGAGGTGCATGAGTGCAAGGGAAGGTGACACCTAGGGCATGCTTGATGGTGTTGAGGTCAAGGAGAAAGAGTGAGAAGCCATAAAATTTGGACTAAGCCTCAGAAAATCTCCTATTAAAAGTTACGCAATATTATTTCGGGTCGGGTCATCATCCGGATCAAATACAACTAGACTCTACAAAAGCCCAAGAGATACCAGTATTCCCTTGACAGTGACCTTGATTCTGTCTTGGTTCTGTTTGTTGGCAGGCACCCACTCTGACAAGGTCATCGTGGGGGAGGCTACTCGAGACATTGAGCGAAACAAAGGGACTGCTAGAGATAATGGCTCAAAGGTGACTTCCATATTCAGCTCCATTGACTGCGATGATTATATCGCTCATATTGTATCTTCGTACCGTATCCCTCCTATTGTTATGTGTCGTCGGGCGAAGGAGGATTAGCCAGTGTGTAGTGACTCCTCGGGTGAGATTGTTCTTTATGAGGATGCCTTAGAGGCGGGTTTGAGGTTCCCAATACCTGGGCCCATGTGTCGGGTCCTAGGACATCTGTCACTAGCTCTGGGGAGGTTGGCTCCTAACGGGTGGAGGGTGATACTGGCATTCTTCTCATTATGGCAGCTGGTTCACAGTGCTGACATCCCTCCCCCATTCGAGGAGTTTTTGGATAACCCCTTTCCTTATCAAGGGTGGTGTCGTTTTTCCCTGAGGTCGTGCAAGTTTATCACTAGGCTTCCTTCGAATTGTCATATCTGGAAGTCTAAGTTCTTTATTGAAGGCGAATAGGCCATTGAGGGAGATTGTGACCTAGTGCCATCAAGGTGGGACACCATCCCAAGGACCAAGCTAGGTAAGGATTTTACTTTCATTTTTACTTCTAGTTGTCACATATCTGTTCTCACTGTATGATTGGCTTCTATATAGTTTCACCTACATTATCTGTGGAGCAAGAGAGTAGGCTCCAGATAGTTCGTGACCATTCTGTCAAGGAATTCTCGAAGATTATGTCCAAGTCAGGTTGTCCCAAGGTTTCTCATAGGCCGAAGAGGAAGGTACATGATCCTTCCAATTGACTCTTGATGGTTAAGTCATTGTATGTTTTTTGTCTCACACCAAGTATGCAGGTACTTCTATTGATAGGGTGATGGTGGAGGCTGTCTTCCCCTCCTTCTTCTAAGAGGACAAGGTCTGATGCCCCCTGTGTTTCTTGGTTGAGATCTGCCGGCCAGGATAGTCCTCGAGAGGCGGGACTTTGTCATGCCCCTTCCCCTGCTGTGGTACTATCGCCTTCTAGAGTTATCCCAGTATGACCGTTAGGATTGAGGCTTCAGTATGGTCTCCTATGAGGACCAGGGCTCTACTTGGCTATCCTATTTCTAGCAGTGGTATGGTGTCCATGCAGCAGGACGTGAATTTGGCCAAGGAGTGACTGTAGGGGTTTGTGATCACCGCGGAGATCTAGGAGGTTGGTTCTCGAGGTCCAGAGGGTGTCATCGACACAACGATGGACGGCTTCGCTTTGGTATGCCTTGTACTCATCTTTGATCTTGTACCTGGCTTCCTTATTTCATATTCTAGATTTTGGATACCCGTAGCTGACTAATGCATTTTCTTACTTATTTTTGAGTACGTTGAAGCTTAGAGAGGCACTTAGTGGTCAAGCATCGGAGAGGTAAACAAGGAGGGCTGTTGAGGAGCAGTTAGGGCTTGAGAGGCAGGTGCGAGAGGCTACTGAGGAGTAGTTGAGGCTAGCACACGAGAGAGCTGCCATACTAGAGATTGAGCTTCCAGCATCCCACGAGAAGGCCACCTAGTTGGAGGCTGATCGAGAGGTTGCCTGCGCGAGAGCAGAGATAGAGCTACGAATGCCCCGTGAAAGGGCCGTTATAGCAGAGGTTGACCTTCAAGCAGCTCTTGAGAGAGATACCAAGGTAGAGGCTTACTCCATGGAGATGGAGAAGAAGAAGGACGTTGTTGAGAGGGTCGTGGCAGGCACCTTTATTGATGGCTATGAGGAGCTCAAAGGGAAGATCTCAGTAGCTTTTCCTACTTATGATTTTTTTGGCTTCGTCCCTTATGAGGCTCCAGGGATTGATGACGAGGAGGCAAGCGACAGTGGGAGCGGATCAAGGGGCAGTGAGTGACGTCAAGAGCATGATATCTTTCTATTTTTGTTTTTGTTGTTAGACCATGGTCTATCTTTTGTAAATGCTTTATGAGCTTCTATGAGATACAACTTTTTTGAAAAAGTCTTGCAAAATTTTATTTCATAATCCGAAGTAATTATCAAAGGAAATTGACCAAAACAACAATAGATAATCTAAATGGTGACTACTGACTTATACATTCATTGCCTTGCCCCCAAATACTGGTAATATTTCTTTAGGGCTCTGTGTTCCATGGATGGGCCAAAACTTTCCCCATGAAATTCTGAATTTTGTAGGTGCCCGGTCTTACAACTTCCGTGACTTTGTAGGGTTCTTCTCAATTAGGTCCTAGTTTTCCTTCCCGAGAGTCTTTGGTAGACAGGATGACCTTTTTCAGGATTAGGTCCCTGTGCAAGAAGGAGTGAGGCTTCACCCTCGAGTTGTAGTACTTGGTCATGCGACGCTTGTATTCTGCATTCCTAAGCATGACTATCTCCCTCTCCTCCTCTACCAAGTTGAGGTTGATGCGAAGACCTTCTTCATTACTGGTAGGGTCATGGTGCTGGACCCTAAGCGAGTGTACCCTAATCTCAACGGATATGACCGCCTCTGTCTCGTAGGCTAGGGAAAAAAGGGTCTCGCCTGTGGGGCTTCTTGGTGTTGTCTGGTAAGCTCACAACACTCCTGGGAGTTCGTCTACCCACTCTCCAATCTAATTTTTAAATTGCGGAGGATGGTCATAGAAGCTGTTAAGGAGTTTGTTGTCAAACTTCTTGCCATTGTCACTAACAATGACATGAGGCACTCCGAAGTGGTAGACTATACTCCTCCATATGAAGTCTTTAATCTTTTAGTTTGTTATTCTAACTAAGGTCTCAGTCTCTGCCCATTTAGTAAAATAGTCAATGGCTATCACTACGAACTTGTACTAGCCTCGACTCATGGATAGGGGACTTAGGATATCAATCCCCCACATGGAGAAGGGCCAAGGGCCACGAGCTCTGAATGGTTGTAAGCTTTTCAGGTAGCTGTCTGGGTACAATTGCGAAGCATTAGCATTTGTTACACTTCTTAACGAACTCTCGGGCGTCTTTGATTAGGCTAGGCCAATAGTAACCTTGCCTCACTACTTTGTGGGCTAGTGCATGCCCTCCCAAGTGATTTCCACATATCCCCTCGTGGATTTCCCTCATTGAGTAATTGGCTTCTTCGGGGGTAAGACAGCGGAGAAGTGGCAATGAGTAACTCTTTTTGTAGAGTGTGTCGCGTAAGATGATATACTTGGACGCTCTCATCCTCAACTTTTTGGCTTCCACTGGGTTGTCCGGGAGAGCGCCCTCCTCTAGGTAAGCTCGGATGGGTGTCATCCAGTTGGTTTCCAAGGATGTACAATTAACATCGTCCTCCTTTGTCTTGAAGGTGCTTGGCTCGAACTGGTGGCTTGTCAGTGTCAAGTCAATGAGTATATTGGCAGACGGGAATTTGGTGAGGGTGTTTGCCATGACGTTATCCTCTCGGGGCACATGGTGGATTTGAAAGCAAGTAAAGCTTTTTAACAAATATTGGACCAATGACAGGTATTCTTGCATTCTCTCCTCCTTTGCTTCAAAGTCTCCCTTTACCTGGTTGACTATAAGCTGTGAGTCACTGTAGACTGTTAGGAAGAGGGCCTCTATCTCCAATGCGAGCTTTAACCCTGATATGAGGGCCTTATATTCAACTTGGTTGTTGGATGTTACAAAGTGGAGGGAGATGACATACTTCAGTGTAGTGCTATGGGGGCTGATCAGCATTAGTCCCGCAAAGTAATATATTTCTCGAAAGACCGAGGTCGAACCCTTAGGGAATTGTGAAACAGTAGCAATCACACCAATACTATAACAATCTTGTAAAGATTATTTGTTTAAAAGAATATTGAATTGAGAAAGTTAATTAAAGTAATTAAAATAGTATGAAAAATACTAGAGCATCAGGTATTCTCTCTCAAATCCATACAATAATGATTAAAGACTTAGTTCTTGACCCTAGACAAGAATCAAATGTCGATTGATTCAAGTCACCAAGTTTTACAATAAAACCAAGAGAACACCTTTGTTTATAATCAACAGATTATTTAGAAACCTGAATAATCATCTAATTATATTATTCTATGAAATAATGATAATCAACTTAAGCATGGAATAACCAGTTATTTGACTCGTAGGGAAATTCAAGCAATCAATGTACATGACACAATGACTCAAGGATTTTTACAAAGCAAAAACTTTGCTAAGAAATCAAAAGTTGAATTAACAAAATATCACATACCATTAAGCTCATAAGTCAGTAACATTACCGTACTTCATTGAGAGGTCCTCCCCTAGCCCTAGCTAAACCTTTTAGCCAGACATGACGAACTAAAATCAAAATAAAAAGATGGGAACAAAATAATTATGCTAATCCTAATTATCTCTCTTAATAGATGAGAGCCTTTATTTATACTAAAATAAATACTAGGTATAGGTAGAAGATACAAGGTTGTATTGGGAGGAATTCTTTTCCAAACAGAAGTCTTTTAAAGTTAAATCCCATGCATAAAATCTTGGGACGCTGGTACAAAATCTATCTAGACTTCAAGCTTAGATTTCGCATATTTAGAGGCTGATTCACAAAATTTTGTGAATAAACTTCTGTAGCCCTTGAAATATTCTTTCCAACCCCACAAAAATTAGGTAAATCCGATATCATAGTCAAAAGTT